TTGGTTTCAAAATAGCTAAAGACAAAGTGTCTCAGATTAGGGTCCCATAGATCATCACCAAATAGCTCAAAGTTTATGCCCTTGGTTCACTAGCTTTTGGTAACCCCTCTCCAACACTCCTTGAAAGGAGTACAGAGATGAATTAATCAGATGTTACTCTAGAATTATTGCGATGACAGTGAATGACAGTGATCATCTGGTAGACTTTAAATTGCAATTATAATTGCCTGTCTTGAGTATTTGAAAGTTTTAGGTTATTACCTTCACTATCTTCTAAGCCTGTGCTGTCCAATAGAGTGCCATGTGGTGTTTTAAATTAATTTAAATAAAATTAAAATTCCGTTTCATTAGCTACATTTCAAGGGCCTGCTAACCACATGTGGCTACCACTTAACATTTTGGACAGCACAGATAGAGATCATTGCATCATTTCAGAAAGTTCTGTTGGACAGCACTGGTTGAAATTTTTCATTTGCTTCGCTTTTCCTAATTCACCCCCAAGTCCATAGTCAATTACATAAATCTTACTTCACGGTGCTCAGACTTCTGAAGTGGTCTTCAATTTCATCTTCGTCTCCAGAAGCCTTCTGATCTGTTCCAACCAGCCAAGTTGCCTTTTGAGCCTCTAATACTTACTCCTTTCTATAGATCCCATCTTCCACTGACTTCCTGAGAAAGGTGCCTGGGAGATGAGCTATTTGAGACTTGTGACTTAAAAAATATCTCTATTTTATCCTCATACTTGATTGATGATTTGGTCATTAAATTCCAGGTTGAATATAAATTTCATTCAAAAATTTTTAAACATCATTACATAATCTTCTTGCTTCTCATGTTGCTTTGGAGAAGTTTAAAACATTCTGGTTCTCATATTCTTTTTTCTCTCTGAAAATGTATAATGTTTTCTCTTTGTCCCAAGTGCTCTTTTTACAGTAACAAGGGGGGACATATTTAAAAAAGTGAGCATTTACCCAGTATTCTGGAAACATGTCCTTCAGTTTTGGGAAATACTATGTTTAAATTTCTCCCCTATATTCTCTGTCTTCTTTCTGAGCCTTCTATTGCTCAGATAATGAATCTCCTGGACTGGTTTTCTAATTTTATCTTTACTATTTTTCATCCTGTATTTTTGTTCTACTTTCAAAATGGGATTTTGCCTCAACTTTACTTTTCAGTCTTTCTACTGAGCTTTAAAATTCACTAACATTTTTAATTTCTAAGGACTTGAGAATGGTTTTTTTATAGCCTTAGTTTTTTTTTTTATTCTTATGTTAATCCCCATACATTACATCATTAGTTTTAGATGTAGTGTTCCATGATTCATTGTTTGTGCATAACACCCAGTGCTCCATGCAGAATGTGCCCTCCTCAATACCCATCACCAGGCTAACCCATCCTCCCACCCCCCTCCCCTCTAGAACCCTCAGTTTGTTTTTCAGAGTCCATCATCTCTCGTGGTTCGTCTACCCCTCCGATTTCCCCTGCTTCATTCTTCCCCTCCTGCTACCTTCTTCTTTTTTTTTCTTAACATATATTGCATTATTTGTTTCAGAGGTACAGATCTGTGATTCAACCGTCTTGCACAATTCACAGAGTTCACCACAGCACATACCCTCCCCAGTGTCTATCACCCAGTCACCCCATCCCTCCCCCCCCACCCCCCACTCCAGCAACCCTCAGTTTGTTTCCTGCGATTAAGAATTCCTCATATCAGTGAGGTCATATGATACATGTCTTTCTCTGATTGACTTATTTCGCTCAGCATAACACCCTCCAGTTCCATCCACGTCATTGCAAATGGCAAGATCTCATTCCTTTTGATGGTTGCATAATATTCCATTGTATATATAGACCACATCTTCTTTATCCATTCATCTGTCGATGGACATCTTGGCTCTTTCCAAAGTTTGGCTATTGTGGACATTGCTGCTATAAACATCGGGGTGCACGTACCCCTTCGGATCCCTACTTTTGTATCTTTGGGGTAAATACCCAGTAGTGCAATTGCTGGATCATATGGTAGCTGTATTTTCAACTTTCTGAGGAACCTCCATACTGTTTTCCAGATTTATAGCCTCTTAGTTTTAATTGAAGTTTCATCAACTCTGTCCCCTTGAGAATATTGACAGTAGCTCATGTCCCCCCCCGCCCCCCGAACTGGCTCTTGGAGTTTTCCATGGTTCTTATTAAAAGTCAGTTTTCTCATCTCCAAAGACATTAACCCTTGGTCTCCCACTTTCTGGCTTCTGAAATGTTACTGCACTTGTCTCTTCTCCTGTTCTCACCTTTCTTATGAATATTAACATTTTAAATTAATCAGGATTTCTTCAGTCACTTCAGGGCTCCTTCCTCCTTGAGTGCTCCCCTCAATTCCAGCTATAGGGGTCAGTTGTGCATATGGGGGGGGGGACGGGTTTGGTGGTCAACGTGTCATCATATTGGCATCCATGGAAACTTATTCACCCGGTCCCTGGGAAATAGTCTATAGATACGTCTGCAGTCTTCCCACCCCCAACCTAGGTCTTCTCCAGGTTTGGAGGCTCTGGGTGTGTGAGCCAGCTTGATGAGGCAGCCTCAGGCCTGTCCACCTAAGCAATCCATGTGGCTGGCTCTCCTTCTCCCACACCAGGCTGAGCAGGAGAGCATTTCCTTTGACTTCCTGCTTCCTCGGATTTTATGTGGGAGGTAGGGCACAGACCTCTCTTCTTGGCTTCTCAAACCTAGCTGGAGTCCTAGCACTTCCATCCACGGGGACTTCTATCCAGGAGTCTCTTGTTGATGTGTAAATACTATGCCCTAGATCCTTTAGGCCTCTGGATTCTCAAGTTTAAAAGCTCAAGTTACGTTTTCTCAAAAGCCCTTTTTCTAAAACGGAAATCTGCCAAGAGTTCTAGAAGCCCATTTAGGAACTCAGAAGTAAAGAGCCTCATTTTTGTTCTGGTTTTTTGGATGGTATTCTGAGACCTTGAAGGCCGAAGCCCCTAGCTGCAGCCTGGGTGGGGCGGCACAGGCGAGTCGTGAACTCTGTTGGACCTGTATGATAACGTCCTTTGCTCTGTCAATGATCTGCTTTTCAAGAATGTAAGAGCTGTCTTTTCATATTGATGTTCAGTTTGAGGGAAGAACTACACTTAGAAAGTTTTCTCAGGAAACATTTTCATTATCCTAAGTGTGTCCGGCATACAAGAATCACCTCACAGATTTGTTGAAAACCTTTAATTTTGTGTCTTTATGGTATGTAACACTGAGTAGAAAATAGTAAATACTTAAATAATTGATAAATTTACTGCATCTATCTCCAAATAGCTCTAAAAGAGAAAAATCAACACTGAAAAATTACTCTTACACAATTAAAACAATTATACTATTTTTTTCTGTTTATAATATTACCTTTATACAATTAAAAATTCACTTGGGAAGTAACTGAATTTAGATGCTGAACTGTAAAAATAGGACCCTTCTATTTAGATAAAATTATTTCCTAATTTGATTTTTCCTTTTTTTTTTTGAACACTGGGTTTTTTTTTTTTAAAGATGTTATTTGTGATAGAGAGAGACAGAGAGAGGGAGCGAGCACAAGCAGGGGGAACAGCAGGCAGAGGGAGAGGGAGAAGCAGACTCCCCTGCTGAGCAGGGAGCCCGACGCGGGGCTCCATCCCAGGACCCCGGGATCATGACCTGAGCCGAAGGCAGATGCTTAACTGACTGAGCCACCCAGGCGTCCCCTCATTTGACTTTCCAATTTCTGACTTAAGTTAATAGATGTGTTTGAAAAGCCTGGCCCTCAAAGCCAAAGAGGAACAGGTGCCCGTTTCCAGCCTGTTCTAGCCCCTCCAGATTCCACGGACACCCGCTGAGGGGGAGGAGGGGAGGGCGGTGGTGCCAAAGCCCCAGATCAGGAAAGCTCCCTGCTAGCTAGGGCAGAGGGAAAGCCATCTGCTGGGCACTGACACATTTCTAGGATGTTGTACAGTGAGAAGCGGGCCAGACAGAGCCGGGAAAGCCTCCCCGGCTGCAGAGGAAGGGAGGCTCCGTGGGCCTTCGTGGTGGGTTGGTAGTGAATTCTTTATCCTCCCTGCCATTGTTGATTATTTAATTCAAGCTCTTCACAACAATCTTTTGAGTCCCTCCAAAATGCAAACACTTGTGCCAGTCCCCAGGGATAAATGCAACGATGAGTAAGACACAGTTCTTACGTTCAGTAGAATTTGCCATAAGTTCCTGCGATGTTTTTTCCACCCCCATAACCCACTAGTTACTTCCCCAATTTCCAGCTTCTCAGTCATTCCCCATTTTCTCTGGGGCAGAGAGCAAACACTGCTGCCTGACACCCAATTCGTGTCTTTTCCAGCCCCTTCTACTTATGTTCGGCATCTTGGTACACGGTGAATAAGCCAAGCCACTATATTCTTTTAACTCTGTATGGCTGAAACTCCCACTCAGTCTTCAGTTTAGCTGAAATGTCACTGTCCCTAGGATACATCCTGTGACTTCTCTGCCTTTGCCCCAGGCTGTGTTAGGGACTCTTCTGTGCTTCCTTAGTGTCCATCACTCTTCGAATCTTCAGTGATGTAACATTGGAATTGTCTGCACCCAATTTTTCTCCCATAGTAGAACCTTCTTGCGACACAACTCTGTTCTCTTTTTCTCTCTACCATAGGCCATAGTCCTGGTACACAGCATGCACATCATTATTAATGGCTTGGTAGATGAATGAAATCACCTGCTTTGTTGTCCTCTATTTTTTAAAAAAATTAAATGAGGGAGAGAGAGAGAGAGAAAAGAGCGTGGGTCAGAGGGAGAAGCAGACTCCCCGCTGAGCAGAGAGCCCAACACGGGGCTCGATCCCAGGACCCTGGGATCATGACCTGAGCCGAAGGCAGAGGCTTAACCATCTGAGCCACCTGGGTGCCCCCCTTTATTTTGGCTATCACTAACTGCTCATTTTTACAATTCCAATCTTCATTTCCCCCACTGTTACTTATCAACTCTCTTTCCAGAATGCTGTCAGAAGGGTATCTCAGTGGACTTGCCTACCAGAAGGACATCCACTGGAGCTGTTCATCTTATAATGAGCAGGTGGCTGAGGAGAAGGAAGAAGAGACAAAATCTGTTACTCATTCCTACTGCTCGGTGGATGAAACCCAAGTCCGAAGTCTGTATGTGAGCTGCAAATCGTCGGACAAATTTATTTCTTCAGTGCATTCAAGAGAGAGCCAACACAGTAGAAATCCGAGAGCCACAATGCTGCAGACGAACCCCAACCCTGTGTTTGAAAGTCCCAACGTGGCTGCGGTCGAAATATGTAGAGACTCCAGCCGAGAGACCTACTTGGTCCCACCTTCCTGCCAAAGTATTTGCAAGAATTACAATGACTTACATATTGCAGGGGACCAGGTGCTGGCTATTAATTCAGTGACAACAGAATTCCCCCCTCAGAGCAGTTTTGAATACGGCCCTTTGCTGAAATCATCTGAGATTCCTTTGCCCATGGAGGATTCCATTTCCCCTCAAACCAGCTACTTTCCCCAAAAACCTATCCAGCGGTATTCATCCTACTGGAGAATAACCAGCATCAAAGAGAAAAGCAGCCTGCAAATGCAGAAGCCTATGTCTAACGCAGTGCTGAATGAATACCTGGAGCAGAAGGTGGCCGAGTTATACCAGCAGTACATTATGGACACTGAGTTTCACGACAGTTCTCCCACCCAGATCCTGGCATCTGAACTCATCATGACAAGTGTGGATCAAATTAGTCTCCAAGTGTCTAGAGAGAAGAATCTGGAGACCTCCAAAGCCAAGGACATAGTCATTAACTGTCTATTACAGCTGGTATCAAGTGAAATCAGCACACCTAGTCTCCATATTTCTCAGTATAGCAACGGGAATCCATAGAGAGGATGCCTCTCAACTACTCCAAGCTAGAGCAACACTTTCTTCATTGATTCCGAGAATGTGCAGGAGTTGGGTGTGAAGCGCAGTCCAAAGCTAGAGAAGTAAAGGTTGGATGGAGGTCAGGTGTGAATTCAGAGGAAATCTTAACCATTACATGTGATGAAGGCATGTGGAAAGAGGAGCCCTGAAATTAGTCTTTATGGTTGTTGTACAGCAACGAAGCAAAAATAAAACCGACCCAAAAAGAAAAGGTATGATTTAAAGGAGTACAGAAGTTTAAAAAGAAGCCAAGCCAAACAAGAACATACACCATGGGAAAACAAAAAGCCAAAGGTTTCAGGGTCAAGAGTTAATGTTTGTTAAGCAAATAAATTCCTCCAAGTTGTTTCTTCTTGAGAAGAATGGACTACAGAAGGGTGCTATGTTTGGGTAGAAAGACCGGTTTCCAACAGTTGTGAAATTCTATTTCTATTTCTTTTCTCCATTCTTTATCAGATCATTTAAAATCTATATATTCTTTATAAACATTCGAAGAGTAGCAAATTGCAATTGTGGTTTTTTTTTTTTTTTTTTAATGATTACTTAGCTATGGCCACTCTAACCTTCTAGTTCTGTTTACTAGTGAAGATGAAGTTTTCTAAATGGAAAGTATCATATCGTGAATTTTTCTTTTTAAGATCTTATTTTTAAGTCCTCTCTCCACCCAACTTGGGGCTTGAACTTACAACCTTGAGACCAAGGGTCGCATGCTCCACCGACTGAGCCAGTCAGGTACCCCTCACATTGTGAATATTAAAATAATTCCTTTTATTTTGCTACATATGATTTTCTTGGTGGTACTAAGCTTCTAAAGAAGTTATGAATGTTAATTCCCCCCCCAATCATTTTTTTCCTCCACTTTCTCTTGACCCTTCTGGAGCCAGAAAGGGGTCTTCTGCATCCTCCAAACAAGGTTACAAGCTCTAGGGGACCATCATAGCAAATTCTGTCAACTCATGCCCTAGAATGGTAGCTTCATGAGCACCTCACTGCTCTACCCCATTCTTCTCGCTTAAGGGATGGCAAAACATGGCTCACTGGCCTTATCTAGTCTGCTGCCTATTTTTTAAAATTATGATATAATTGACATAACATTACATTAGTTTCAGGCGTATACCATGAGTTAATGTATCAATTGCAAAATGATCACCATAAATCTAGTTACACCCTTTTTGAACCCCCATGAGCTCAGAATTTCTTCTATCATTTAAAAATGGAAAAACCGGGGCACCTGGGTGGCTCAGTCATTAAGCAACTGCCTTTGGCTCAGGTCATGATCCCAGGGTCCTGGGATCGAGCCCCGCATTGGGCTCCCTGTTCCACAGGAAGCCTGCTTCTCCCTCTCCCACTCCCCCTGCTTGTGTTCCCTCTCTCGCTGTGTCTCTCTCTGTCAAATAAATAAATAAAATCTTTAAAAAAAATAAAAATGGAAAAACCATCAAAAAGTATTTGACAGGTGGACTTAAGATACTCAAATTCAGTGTCCATAAAATCAGGCTTTACTGTAATTCAGCCACACCCATTCATTTATGTATTGTCAATGGCTGCTTTCACACTCGAATGGCAGAGTTGGATAAACACGACAGAGAAAGTATGGCCCACAGGAATCTGAAACACTATCTGTCCTCTTACGGACAAAGTTTGCCAACCATGCTCCCCAGCAGGGCCTTGCCCATACAATGGTTGCTGGACTTAATTGAGCTTCCTTGGGAAGGTGACGGAGATGAAGCCTGAGGCAGCAGCTTCCTGGGGAATGAGGAAACAGAAAAGGTTTCCACAGAGGTCTCAGGCCATCTCAGGAAGCTCTGGAGCTGGGATGGCCCTTCAAAATGGATCCAAATTGAAATGAGAGGGTTGGCTGTGGTTCTCCATCTTGGCCAGAAGGGGGCATAACTTGAGTTGAGGCAGTTCAGTTCAGGGCAACATTCTCCAAGTGGGAAGTAGTTGCTGGGGGAAGGAGAGCCTCATACGGAAGCAGTGATCCGGATGGAGCAAAACAGCATCTTCTACATTTGTCACTATTTTTATAAATTAATGTTTTACAACATATAATCTTGAGTAAGGAAACCTGGTTTTGAAATGATTATTCAGATATTTTATTCAGTTTTAAATTTACGGAAGTAATAGCTGCTCTTATTAATTGCTCGGTATGTGTCTGGTACCATGTTAAGTATTTTGCACGAATTATCTTACAGAATCCTCACCACCTATGAGGGCAAATGCCTATTATCCCTTTTTTCAGAGATGAGCCCGCTGGGCTCGGGGAAGTTAAGTAATTTGCGGTAGGGCTAACAGTGGGTGGTGTACTTGGATTTGAATCCAGTTCTAGTGAAATTCAAAGTCCTGGTCCTTAAGTGCTACCACCTGCTCTCCTGTTGACCACCATGTTTTTTCTCATTAAAGACTGGTTTTCCTCTCCAAAGGAAAAGAACTCAATCCCTTCACCATCACGCTACATCATTTTTTTCTTCATTGTTTCGCTTGATTATATTTGCACATCTTCATCCCCTCCCAAGAACATAAGCTTTGATTTACTCATTTGTTTCTCCAGGTCTCAAACACTATTTACACACAGTAGGCACCCAATTAATGTATGTCAAATGGATACATCTGGTGGTCGAAGTGAGAAACCATCAGTATGAAAACCAACTACTTCTGACTAGAATCAAGTGCTATTGAGAGTTCCTCCTCAAGGAGAAAAATAACTGAATAAATGAGCTTAATTTCTTCTAACATGTTAGTATAATAAAGTACATTATAATGAAATATCACGGATATTTTGTTTGCTTATTTACTGAGAAATAACTCGTTACAAAAGAGACTGGTTTATCTTTTCCAGTGAGCCTTATTTTGATGCTATTTTGAGGGGGGGGTTGGAACACAGTGCATTAAACACAGGTAGGGAAGACACATGTGTGTGCACACACACACAGGGGAGAAGGCCCTGTTTTCCGCCAGCTTACTAGATTGTTGGGGAGACCTAGCAAATAACTAGGTGACAAGTGACAAAGCCCCTTATTAGGCAGCAAGTTGGCAAAGTGGCACAAACAGAAACACAATTATCAATGATTGCAACTCAAGTGTGATACGGGCTAAAAGTAGATGGGTTAGGAGGTGGTGGACAGTGGGGGAGCCCAGCGCAGATGCCAAAGGGAAGTGATGGTTTAGATGACTCTTGAAGAGCAAGATAGGATCTGGGTAGACAGATGGGAGGGGTGTTTCATGCAAAAGCGTCAGTGTGTTTCATGCCACGGGGAGCTCCGAGTCCACAGCTACAATGGAAGCTGCATGAATGCACCAACGGCAGGATGCTAGTTTGCTACGGCTCATGTAACGAATGGCCACAGAATTAGTAGCTTAAAATAAAACAAACCTATTATCTTAGGGTTATGGAGGTCAAAAGTCCAAAATGATTCCCACTGGGCTAAAATCGACGTGTTGGTAAGGCTGAGTTCCTTCTGGAGGTTACAGGGGAAGAAATGGTTTGCTTACCCTTTACAGCTTCTAGAAACTACCCACACGCCGGGGCTCCTGGCTGCACAACAAAGCGACCACGACCATCAGTGGAACTTGGCCTGCCCTGCCCCTCCCGCTTCCCTTTTATAAGGACCCTTAGGACTCCATCGGGCCCACCTGGATAATTGAGGCTAACGTGCTCACCTTAAGATTCTTCAAGTAATCACATCTGCTAAGTTCCTTTTGCCTTGTACAGGAACATTCACAAGTTCCAGGCATCAAAGTATGAATATTTGCCAGGGCAAGAGGGTGGTGGTGGACAGTATTCTGTCTACCACAGAAAGGACCATTTTTCCCCCTCCTGATTGTCAGAAATTTGCCTTTCCACTCTTAATTCTTATTCAAGATGAATAAGTCCATGTTTGCTTACATGTAAAATAGATGGTTTCCTTTTCTGCCTGTTGTCATCCCATGCTGTATATTTTGATTTGTCCATATACATTAATCCACTTTTTCTTGTGCTCATTTTAGATATCCTTTTCTGGATTCTAATTCTATTTTTATCTTTCTTTTAAAATATGTTTATTCATTATAAACATGGTATCGGCTTGTTCTAGAAAATCTGAATAACAGCAAAGCAGAAAGTTGTCCTCAGTCCCCAAATATTCAGGGAACGTTTTTGAATGAATTTATTGCCGGTCTTTTCTCCATGTACTTTTTAAAAATGGAACTATGATTAACATACAGTGTTATATTAGTTTTAGGTGTATAATATAACGAATCAACACTTCTATACATTGCTCAGTGCTCATCAAGATTCCATGTATTTTTTTTTCATTTCTCTGAGCAGGGTTCACATCTTTTTTTTTTTAAGATTTTATTTATTTATTTGACAGAGAGAGAGACAAAGCGAGAGAGGGAACACAAGCAGGGGGAGTGGGGGAGGGAGAAGCAGGCTTCCCGCGGAGCAGGGAGCCCGATGCAGGACTCCATCCCAGGACCCTGGGACCATGACCTGAGCCGAAGGTAGACGCTTAACAACTGAGCCACACAGGCACCCCGATCACATCATCTTTGAATAAAATATTGTATCTTTGTTTGTTTCAATGACACTGTAACAGAGGGAGAAGTTCTAAAACTAGTAGATTTATAATGTTCGTCTGGGGAACAATCTTAGTTTTTCTTCCTCATATACTATTTGATAATGTCCAATATTTTGTGGACATTTTTGTCTGTTGTAGAACATTGGGCCAATAGACTCAGGAACTTGTCTGTATTAACAGTAAGGTCTCTCTCTCTCTGAGTTTTAACTGTTAACCTGAAGTTTGACATTCAAGAAATATGATTCAGATTATTTGCCTTTCTGAGGGCCTGTAACCTCCAGAAGGAACTCAGCCTTACCAACACGTCGATTTTAGCCCAGTGGGAATCATTTTGGACTTTTGACCTCCATAACCCTAAGATAATAGGTTTGTTTTATTTTAAGCTACTAATTCTGTGGCCATTCGTTACATGAGCCGTAGCAAACTAGCATCCTGCCGTTGGTGCATTCATGCAGCTTCCATTGTAGCTGTGGACTCGGAGCTCCCCGTGGCATGAAACACACTGACGCTTTTGCATGAAACACCCCTCCCATCCGTCTACCCAGATCCTATCTTGCTCTTCAAGAGTCATCTAAACCATCACTTCCTTTGGCATCTGCACTGGGCTCCCCCACTGTCCACCACCTCCTAACCCATCTTTTAGCCCATATCACACTTGAGTTGCAATCATTGATAATTGTGTTTCTGTTTGTGCCACTTTGCCAACTTGCTGCCTAATAAGGGGCTTTGTCACTTGTCACCTAGTTATTTGCTAGGTCTCCCCAACAATCTAGTAAGCTGGCGGAGAACAGGGCCTACTCCCCTGTGTGTGTTTCACTTGTAATACTCGTTGACACATAAAATTAACCATCAGAAAGGCAAATATGCCATCAGACAAAATTATGTGTCACTACTATTTCACTTGTCTATCCTGATAATCACCTGCCAGACTTTCATTTACTCACTTTAAATTCAAAGAAATCCAACTAATATTTATTCAGCACGAACTATTATACAAAGATGAGGTTGTCCCGGTCCCTGTTTAAAGAGCTTATTAATGTGGTACAAAATGTAGCAAACAATGCACACTAGTGTGGTAAGACATGGGCAATGACTATTTAAGAT